GGGGGGAGGCAGATAAAAGACAAGACTTGACAATTGGGATATTTTTAGGGAAGATACGGGGAGAGTAAAATAACCCATTCCTGCTTCTTCCATATACCATAAGGGTTTTTTAAAAAGGGTGTGTGGGGGATGATGCACAAACCTATTTCTCTCTGCCCTTCTCTTTACTGGCACTTTTTAATACTTTGCCTAAAAATGCTAAGTGAAGAGACACACTTGCACCGGAATCACTAGCAGGCAAGGCCAGACAGCCTTAGTGACAGCCCACAGGGAGGGGGACTTGAGGAGGGGGCCTACAACATGTCACAGTCCCTGCGAAGACCAACCTCATTGCCATTCCCTCTGACAGATCCACCATGGTAACAAGTAGCACTGCCGAACTGCCCAGAACAGCCAGTAAATTGAACAATGTGAGAGACTTTCTTCTATACCTAACAGAAATAAACTACTTATATCCATGGCGCCTGAAAGCTAGACTTATTTACATTCTCTCTGGTTCATAAGGTAATGTAAACAGAGACCAGAAGATGTTACCCAGTGTCTCTTTGGTGGCCTATGTGTAATGAACTGTTTGTGGTTCCCTTCCTAGTCAGGTGTGATAAAAGTACACACACTAGTGTTTGCAATGTGCATGTGAGGACTGCTACAACAGGGTTTGAACTGGGGGACCTCCAGAGCTAAAAGCATGAGCCACCTCAACTTGAACTAAAGAGCTATGATGCTACAACAACTCATGTCCCCAGCGGATCAGCAGAGGATCCATAAAAACCATTCACCAGTGGGCTACACATGTTGCTGGGACATCACAGTACAGAAGCCAAGGAGTGAATGGGCATGGAGAATGAACTATCCCCTGTGTATCTCATGGTCAGGATCAAGACCAACCCTTGGAGTAATGCAGTGTGACCTACACTTCTTAATCCACTCTTTCTGTAAGAGACCTTATTTATCTTTCTCTTAAGGAAGTAAAGTTTGAGCCTTTTGCTGAGAGACTCAAGTAATTGCGCTGACTAAAAAAAACCAAAACATCCTCCCAAGCAGTGGTATGTATGCATAGATTGTAGACGGATACTTGCATCTATGGAGAACGCACAACTTCAGCAAAGATAGAAAACTCACTTCTATAACAGGCAAGAAAATCATCCATCAGATGGAGAAGTTACCCAGTAACCATCCAACTGCTGCCAGATAAATACCAACTTTTTGCACAGTAAAGCAGAGTGCATTCTATTCTCCACCCCAATACAGCCTGGCTCAAAAGCTGTTCTCTGAGCTAGTGTTGGATCATGCTTTAAAGATTGCTCCTGTCACTCAAGAATTGACAGTCTGGTTTGGCTTGTTCTTTCAAAACATTATATAACAGATTTCCTTGTTTGTTTTTAAAGGAGAGGTACTAAAGCAAGGATTCCATAATTTGGTTTAATAAAGACTCATTGTTAATTTGGAGGTAATGGGAAACTGGTGAGCCACTGTTGGATCAAATACTTTGCTCTTATCCCCTTGAGCTATATTAAGGTGAGCTCCAGAGTATACAACATGCTATAAAATAAGTGACAATATATTGAAGATTAGTAGAAATAGCTTGTGTGTCTAATTCTGAAACTAGATGCATGTCAGAATCTCAGTGCAAACTATCCTAATTAGAAACAAATTCTCATGACCAGAGATCAGGTGAAACTATTTGTGATTCTAGAATTGCAAGTCTGGATTTTGTCTTTGCTTGAGTAAGCAGGTCTGCTTTAAAAACAATAAATAACTAAACATACTGCAATAGTTCAGTGGGTTAAAAAAACCCACTCAACTGCTGGTAGAAAACAAAGATTTAGCCTTTTATATGGAAGATGAGGGATAATTTACCTTAATTATAATGGTGTGGTCAGGTAATAGGCAGCTGGTTCAACAAAACCAATGGTCACTCAGGATACTATTCTACTAGGATATTAAAATCAGGTATATGTACTGAAGAATTTCCAAGGCTGTTTAAGTTCACAGGGTTCTTTATCTCAATTTCTTTTAGTTAGGAGATGGAGTAATGTTGGCAATATTTCATTTATGAGACCACTTTTGTCCTTTTAGAAGAAAAAGGAAATCAGTTTGGCAAGGAGGTAATGGATAGTACTTAGGAGCAGGATTAAGTATAAGAAGATCTGTGACTTGAACAGGAGCTGCTAGAGGAAAAGAAGTCTCTGAAAATTCAGACACACCACAACCCAGACAATTATTGGAAACCTCCTCAGGTGCTCCTGCTAGGTTTCCAATGTACAAAGTACATTTCTCTAGAAAGGACACTGAAATCCAAAGTTCATCATTGAATGGGTGTTTCTAGTGGGGTTCCACAGGGATCGGTTCTTGGCCCTGTGTGCTATTTAACATTTTTATTAATGGCTTGGAAGACAACATACAATCATCAGTGATAAAATTTGCAGATGACACACAAACTGGGATGGGGTAAATCATGAAGAGGATGGATCACTGCTTCAGAGCAATGTGGATTGCTTGGTAAGCTGGACTCAAGCAAACAATGGGTTTAATATGGCTAAATGTATACATCTATCAAAGAATATAGACCATATTTACAAGGCGGGGGACTGTATCCTGGGAAGCTGTGACTCTGAAAAAGATTTGGGAGTTATGGTGGATAATCAGCTGAACATGGGGAATTTTAAGTAAGAATAGAGAGGTTATTTTACTCCTGTAAATTGTATTTGGCAATGGTGTGACTGCTGCAGGAATACCGTGTCCAGTTCTGGTGTCTACAATTCAAGGAGGATATTGACGAACTGGTGGAGAGCGTTCAGAGAAGAACTACCTTTAAAAATCTGACCCTTAGTCTCTCTTGGTGCAATCCTGCTTTTGTTATAAGAGATTATAAAATAATCCAATCATTTTTTTAGTCATTGCTGATTCTCCAGGACAGGTAGGGGTGTTATGTTAAGTGGTAGATTCCTTTACCTGAGATTAAATACAGCAACATCTGTCAGTCTGGCGTTTCAGCTCTGGACTAAGTCTCTGAAGTCAGTATGTGCCAACATGCCACCAGACAGGCCCAATTTTCACACCACAAAGACTGGCATAAGAAATTAATGTTGTATTAAAACATACGACAGACAAATAAAGATAAATGTTTTCCTTGTATTATTTTGCTATTTTCCCAGTACACAGATTTTTACTTAAGCTCTTTTATCTTTTGAACGGCTCTGTTCTATATGTGTGTTTATTTGCATATACAGTAACTCCTCGCTTAACGTTGTAGTTATGTTCCTGAAAAATGCGACTTTAAGTGAAAGGATGTTAAGCGAATCCAGTTTCCTCATAAGAATTAATGTAAATGGGGGGGGGGGTTTAGGTTCCAGGGACTTTTTTTTCCCCACCAGAAAAAAAAAAACTATATATAGATATACACAGAGTATACTTTTTAAACAAACAATTTAATACTGTTCACAGCTATGATGATTATGAAGCTTAGTTGGGGTGGTGAAGTTAGAAGGTGGAAGAGCATGGGATATTTCCCGGGGAATGCCTTGCTCCTAAATAATGAACTAGCACTTGGCTGAGCCCTCAAGGGTTAACACATTGTTATTAATGTAGCCTCTCACACAAGGCAGCACGAACATGAGGGAGGGGAGACAGCATAGCAGACAGAGAGAGACACACACCTTGTGTGTGGGAGAGAGAGATGCACACTGCCCCTTTAAGTAAGCCGACCCACTCTTAAGTGCATTGTCTTTTTAAGTGGATCAGGAAGTTGAGACAGTAGCTGCTGCCCCAAGCTCTCTCTGTCCGTGTCCCCTCCCTGCTCTATATGGAGAAGGGGTAAGTGGGGTGCAGGAGCAGGGGGGAGGGGGACACCCTGACATTAGCGCCCCCCCTTTCCCTCCTGCACAGCAAGCAGGAGGCTCCTGTGTGCAGCTCCAAGGCAGAGGGCAGGAGCAGCACATGGCAGTGGGGGGAGGGACAGCTGAACTGCCTTGATAGCCTGCTGGGCGGCTGCAGCACAGGGAACTTAGGGGAGCGGGGAGCAGATAGGGGGAGCTGATAGGGGGGCTGCCGGTCCACCCTGGTTCCAAGCCCCCACCAGCTAGCTGCAACGGGCTGCTCTTCCTGCAAGCAGTGGACAAAGCAGGCGGCTCCCAAATGACGTTAGAAGGGAGCATTGCACAACTTTAAACGAGCATGTTCCCTAATTGATCAGCAACGTAACAATGAAACGTTAACCGGGACGACTTTAAGTGAGGAGTTACTGTATATTATATATAATCTATTCCCCTGGCATGGCAATCCTGCAGGGAAAACTCCAATTAAAGCTAAGGGAAGTTTTGAATGAATAAGCACTAAAGGATCAGGCGCCTTGTCAGACATGAGTTCTGAGTATTTAGCAAGCAGACCAACACACTTTGTGAACGCTTGCTAAACAGAAATGGTCCATTGTCTTCCTTGAGTTACAATGTACATTAAGTTGATTAGCTTTTCTAATGGAATTGAATATCAGGTTACATAAACTACAATGAGTTGGGTTAGTTTAGGACAACCCCCATTTGGGGAGATGGTGGTATTATAAACCTTAAAAATCCCATAAACCTGTATTTCATGTCCCTAGAGGCCAAGACCAACTCATAGTAACCTACATCCTGAAAAGACTTTGTGTGTTGTTTGGATTGATCAAAAGTCTTATCTAGTTACAGCTGACTTTGTACCTATATTTAATCTGGTTTTACGTCAGCTGTATATACAACTTCCTTCTGAGTTCTGAAGGGTCCATCAGAAATTACTGTTAAACATATGAATGACAGTTAATAGGGGTTCCTTTTTCTATTCAAACTATATGCAAATGTAAATAATCATCTTTTAGGTTTCTCCCAGGTAAAACCTATGACAAAAATACAAATATTCATTTAACTTTGTGCTAAGATTCTTAATGACCTAGGAATATTTCAACTAATTAAATTGGCAGACATTGCAAAAAAACAAAAACAAAAAAAAACCTCACACACACACAGTAAAGAGATCTCCTTTTCTCTTTTATTGATACTGCCAACGCGACTACCTTTACACAGGCAGATTGCTTTCCTACATTACACATACTTTTTGTATTAATTTGGAAGTAACATTTTGCCCCCTATGCCTCCTAAAGTTATCAAATTAACACACAGTTATACCTTAAGAATCAGTTTTCCACCATTTTCTTTTAACCAATGACATTTACTTTTTCAGATCTGTGTAAAGGTTACTTGGCAAGAGTACATGCATATGACATTAAATGGAGACCAATCCACCACTAAAAGGTAATGCACATAAAACATAATACAGTACTTTGACATCATTTCAAATAAATACCCATGTACAAATGTAGTAATTTTTAAATGTAACAATATTTCTTATGAATCAATACTGTAACAGAAGATGAAAATATAAGAAGTCCCCACATCTAGGAATAATAATGCTTCTTCCAGCAAACAGAAATCTTTTCCCCACTGACAATATTATTACAATTTGTACTTTTTTTTTGAGGGAGGGAAGTCCTCCCCCTCCCCCAAGTACCAATTTAATGATTCACACTAGCCTCAACAAACAGCACCAAGGCAGGTAGGTACAGCTTGTTGATGCACTTTTCACTTTCTGTTTCCTGAAATTACAATGATTAGATACAACATGCAAGAGTAGGTATTAATGTCTTGTCTTTCACATTTCCAAACAATACTATGGTTAAACTGTATCCATCACCATACACAGCTAACAGAACATTAATGTTCCCAATACATCCTCTGTACTGCAGCCACAAATGTGTTAATACATCTTGCTCATTTGTTCAATAAAAGTCCATTTGGTTCCCAAAGTGTATTCGGGTTTGTTATTTTTTTTCCTATACCCCTGAATTTGCAAGGATCTGCATGATGAAGTATCATTGACTAACAGTATTTTTTACAATTTCTTGTGTATATATAATCTCTATATTAAGACTACCCATTAAAAATGTGCGAAAGGGGAGTTCGCTTTGCACTTATTGCTCCACATCTTTACTAAGTTCCAAAACAACTGTTCATTTCTTCTTGTATAGACTAAGCTATTCTAGGATTTTCACTTAAATTATTAAAGGCACTACTGGCAATAATTAATGACAAAAAGGCGCTGAAATAGAACACCCTATTCATTGACAACTTTAGAATTTTTCTTTCTAAATGTACCATAATTTGGCACAATAAAATGAAGTAACAACAAAACAATTCCAATTTGGAATTTAAACCATACAGTTGTATAAAATTCTGTTAATCAATAATACTTCACACCTTCCTAAAACCCAGAAATTCTGGAATTTATAGGTAACACTACTTATTTAATATTTTTCAAGTGCCTATTACTGTTTTAACTAGAGCAAAGTCAAGTTTTCTTCTTGTTACATTGAACTATTCCTAAGAATAATAATACAATATGAAAAAAACCCCAGAATTTGAATACCCTGGATTTCTTAATGAACATGGCAGTTAAAAATCAGTAATTTTAACACATAAAGCTTAACATTTTATAATAATAAAAAAAGCTGCTGAAGCACAGCACATATATAGTTTAGCAGAGCTCCTGGTTTTTGTGTTGAAACTCTTTTTCTAAACACTGTCTAGAGCAAAATCAAAAATAGTCCAAATCTCTGCCACATGCTGATGTAGAAAATCAACAAGCACAAGCCCAAAATGGGGAGAGAGACTATGAGCACAAACCACTGCATTTTATATAAACTCTTCTACATAAGGAATTAAAAGAAGCTAAAGTAAAATATCAAAATATCAAAAGTGCACAGGTTTAACAATCAGATAAAAAAATGAATATCTGCAATGAAATAAGAAAAATTCCCCCATCTGAACATTTCTAGTAGATCATAAAGTAATAGGGTGATCATTACGTTCAAAGTAGGTTTCTTCAGCACTTGTAAGTTTTCTTCCTGCAGCAGCACTTATAGGTAAAGCTTGTTTGTTTTATAACTTGAGACATAAAAGTAAAATTGCAGGTAGTATATTGGAAAAAGTTGTTTTTAAAAAAACCCAACAATCTAGGATCAGGTCAGTGGTTTCCATTCTTTGTGCAACAGGCTACCACTGTTAACCATAAGGAGGCAGGCTAAGAAATACTGTTGCACTGTTGGAAAGGCCTTCTCCAGGAACTACTCTAAAGCTGAAAAATGGAAAACAGAATAACATTAGAAAAATTGGTACTCATTCATCAGTTAAAGAACTGACTTAATACAGAGTGCACTGCAAGATCTCCATAGCAGGTTAGTCGGTTGAGGGGCATCTGTTAGTTTCCCAAGGTAGAGGCAGTCACTTTAGTTGGCATGTGCTTTCCAAGCTAATGCACAATGCTTTACATGAGTACTGCTCAGAAGCAACAGCTATGCAGGAAGATTTCTTACAAGTACTGAATAAAGCTATACTGTTCGAGCAAAAGATACAGCAGTGAGTATGCGAAAGCCATTATCAATGAAGATTTAGGTTCTCCAAAGACATGCAGGTCAGTATATCATGCAGGCCAATGCAGAGAACAGTAATCATTCAAAAGAAGAGCCTGCTTGTAGAGGTAGGTGATGGCTTAATAAGTTTTCCAAGCTAAATCCCAACCCATTGAAAGGGAAATGAAAGACTTAACATAGCATAGGTAAGTTTCAAGAGATTTGTTTCACAAAAGTACAAGCCCCCATAATCTTAAATATATTAATCTAAACATACACACAGCAGGAATAGGTCACTTTTATGTACCGTTGCTCATTTCTCTTTAGATCAGGTTTTAAAACATACACTGTTTTTTATCTTAAGAGCCATAGAGATGAATAAAAATGGAAAGGATTACTAAGCTGGTTGTGATGTAGTAAAACTATTCATATTTTGTACTGACAATGTGAGCCAATATTGATAGTAATAGTCACCTTCTGATAACACTGAAATCTTCCTATAAAGTTTCAATTGACTTTAAAACTAATCAATGCATGTAGTTTCTTAAATTTACCTTTTCTATCATTACTATGTTGTGACAATACTTCCACTAGAGACAGGGACGCAATACAAATTGTATTAACAGCTTCCTACCAAAGTGGAAACAAAATAATAGCTACTTCTAATGGAGCAAAATGAGTTAGTAATCTAAATGCTTACTTTTACAAGGCATTCTTTATAATTACCCACAATGCAAAAATGAGAAGAATAAAGGCCTTTTGGAGGATTGTGCAGCAAAGAAGAGAAAAGCAGGATTGAAAATTGTTCAAAGGTATTTTGCTTCTAAAAATATCAAACCTGCTACATAGCAATATTAAAGCTCAAATTCAGGAGAATACAGTGTTTTCTAAAAATGAAGTAATAATTGATGCACAGGGGCCTGCTTTTAGGGCCACAATTACTGTCTTTTTAAACATCTAATGTACACAGGTAATTGGGCAATAGACTAGACTTGGAAAATCCACTCTTTAAAAAAAATAGATATTAGCAAATGTGATTCTGGCACCAAATTTAAGGATGCCACATTCAAATATTTCTTTTAAAACAAGATTTTTCATAACTCTGATGTCAGATTTCTTCACAATTTACTTGTGTGGATTTTAGAAGCATTTTTTAAAAATCTCTCAGAAACCAAAGACTATGTTTTCCCTCCATTGGAAAAGCAGGCTGCGCTCCTTATTACTTTATATTTATATTGTGATATCTCCTGACTACTTATAGGCAGAGCGGCGATACACAAGAAGCAAGCTGCTGACCATCTACAAGAAATGGTAGTGAAATGAGGCAGTACTACACCAGGATCATTAGAATGGTTTTAGAAAACATCACTATCAGCAGACAACTGTGCAGTCTTGGATTACTTTTAGTTAATACTATAAGCATACAAAATTATTTGAAAAAGTACAAAATGAACAGGGCTTTACATTAAAATAAAGTTTGAGGCTAGGCACTTTAAAAACTTTTGTTTTTAAAAAAATGTGCCTTATTGTGCTCCACAAATTTTCCACAATTTTAAAAGCAACATTTTTCAATCTTGTATATTTATCACTTGTATAGGCACCAATTATGAAGTACACTTTTTTATGTTATCAAACATATTGAAATTAAGTGGCTAAAAAGGCCCCTTAAAAGTCCAATAGCAGACAAAGTATTTTTTTTTAAGATTAATACATATGCTAACCTACTTCATTAATATTTATTAACAAGATGAACGGGTTAAATTTCCTGTGCCTATAATGTAGAGCCCTGTGAAAGGTGTGCTTGCATAAGGAATGCAATTTTTTTTTTTAATATTAAAAAAACCCACAAACAAACAGAGCTCTGAAACACTATCCCATTAAGATTAATACTGAGAGCTGAGAAAAACTGTATTGTGACTTAAAAATAGTAGAACACAGTCATATAAATTCTGTACAGATATGGTGTGGCTATAGTAATATGTAAAAACACCTTCTTTCCCAACTGTTATGCTGCAAAAAGCAACATGAGACCACAAACATCCTTTCCATACATGACACTTTTTAACAGCATAACTTTAATGTGAAACTGCATATGAGTTAGGATCCTAATATTTTTAATTTTATTCCAGATGGGGTAATATTGCATATTTTTAATAGACTATAAATGTGCAAGTTTCTTTAGGTTAACCCTCTGAAGTAGAGAAGAAAGCAGAGTTTAAGAATGTATCCTATATTTCTCCAACTTTTATAGCTTATAAAAGCCTTTTGGGACTTTGGTCAGTGGTGATATGGCAGAAAATTTCTGATGAGTGCCACAGTGGGCAAATCTAGTTTTGGTACTGGTTTTGAAATGTTCTGCATTTCCATGTTACACATCTAATTTCCAGTGTTGCATTTCACCACTTTTCAAACCAGATTAACAAGGAGATTTTAGGTTTGCTTTTTCCTGTGAAAGCTTTTTTTTTTTTTTTATTTGAAGGATGCTGTAACCCTGGGGAAAGGATCACATTTGTGCTAATCAAACTACAGTTAGTAACACCAGATGTAGTATATCAGGTATAAACTTTTAACACTTACCCATAAACAGCAAAACCATACATGTTAACCGTGGAAACAAAAGTTCCTTTCCACTATTAACTTGTTAATAAGATCTCCATACGTATGAATTAGTTACAGTTAAGACCACCATAATACCATTTGTATTACATGGTTTAACAACATACTAGTACAAGTCAACTCACCGCAACATTAGATAGTGGGGATTTATGCTGACAATTACAGCATAAAAATTAGATGCATAATATGATTTCCTACATGCCTCTTCTAGTCACAATAGATCTTATACTTCTCACAAAACACCTGGTTGTTAAGGACAGACCCCTCAGATGTGTCTCCACAGGACCGGATATGACTTACACTCGGGTTACTGGTCTTGGCTTTGGAAGCAGATTTAGTGCGCACCCTTTTGGACTGCTCATGGTCAAGCTCCAGATGCTCCAGGCGCTGGGTCAGTGCCAGTTTTTGCTGGATTGCCATACGAAGCAAGGAGTTCAGAGTCTTCTTCTCATCTTCAGCTGCTGCGAGCTGGCGTTGCATTTCATCCAGCTGTGTGACATATTCGTCACATCTGCAATGAAATATATCAAGAATCTTTAGCAACCCTATTTTCCACTACAAAGCATGAATCCTTTGTGCTCAGCGGACATGGCCACAGGCTGATAGGAAGGAGGTTTGTAATCTGTTGTGTGCATATTTATATAGAAACTTCAGCAAAACCACTGCACCACAATTTTCTTCTTCTGTGGATCTCCAAATCCCACATTTAGTGCTCAAGTTCTCCCACTTTATATATGAAAGTACTCATTATAGGCCTCCCTGACTACCCAAGTATGGGACCTGGAAGCTCTGTAAGGTGGCTCCGTCTGAAAATTGAGCACCCCGCACTTGACCTGGTAGTGATGAGTTACATCTGATGACTCATTCTTCACTGAAATGGGGCATTCTATTACAGAAAGTTAGGACTTTAGTTCTAAAGTGTAGGTTAGAACAAAAGGGTCCTATAACTTTTAATGAAATGACCATTAATGCCGTTTTACCATTGATTCAAATGAATTCATTTCCCTATTTTCCATGAGGCTGAAAGACATTTAATAAATTCCCCTTGTCTGTATGTTCCAATGCACATCCAAGCTCAGTCACTCTCCCTGTCCCAAAGAAAAGGCCTACAAGCTGCCCAATACTGTTTGATTAGATTTTTTTTTTAAGAGGCACAGATGTAGATTCCAAAACTCCAGTTTTGCCTACCCTGTTTACTGGTGTAAGATACCAGATATTAGTGTTTTATTGCTGTTTTGTTTTGAGCAAGTATGTCTTTTTATGCAAAAATCATTGTTTTCAATATAACAGTTTTGAAATCAATGTCTAGCAAAGAAAAAATGGGCCCTTCCAGTGTTACATGGCATCTTGCAGGGCAAGCTCCACAAATGCCTGTGAGCTGTTTAATCTGTAATCACTTCCATTGAGCTTGGGAGCTATTAAAACTGCATCATGCACCATAAGCAATTCTAAATGAAGTCCTTCACGTGTAGGTGTGTGGTTACTGTATGTAGATATAATAAGTGTGGCTGTAAAAATAAATAGGTCTATACACCAGCAGAAATTTCTCATTACCACATCTGTAAAACTGAGCATCTTCGTAAAAATCAAAGACAAACCTCCACCAGGGAGATCCTTCTTGTGAGATGTATTTTCAAGCTACTAGTAATGTATAATCTAAAGCAGAGAGGGAAAAAAACCCTGCATTCAAATGCAGATTCACAGACTGTGTCTTATAAAGGGCCCGATTATTTTCCCATTGACTTCAACAGCAGCAGAGGCCAGCCTGCCGTCTAACTGAGTTTGCAGGAGAAAAGTTTTTATTTTGAAATACACATTGAAGAAAGTATCCAATAGTGGCCCCTAAATGCTCATGTCAAACTTCAGTGCACTCAGACTGGAGTGTAGTTTAGCGTACCAGGGACAACTGGACTCAGTGCCATAGATCGGAATCTACCTTTTTTCTCATGGAGGAGATGTATCGAGAGTAAAGACCTAAGATGGTAACAATACATGGAATTCTTGGAGAGTTTTGAGGTGATGGTGGGATTGAGACAAGGCAGTGTGCGGTCTCTTCTCTTCAGCTAGTTATGGAGGTAATTAGTAGGAGAATCAAACCAGCAAGGAGACAGAGAAAACTATGTATGCTGACAATCAGGCCCTTTAGGCTGACAGCAAAGAGAAATTAGCTAATATGATATCAGAGTGGGCATCTGTGTTTGAAGACCATGGTTTGAAGGTAAACACAAAGAAAATTGAAGTTGTGCAAGTAGGGAAAGTGTAAGAAGGGTGGTTGATTGACATTTCAGGAGAGAAGCTACTGCAGAACTACTAACTGTGGAATGTAACCTATCATTTAAATGAGCTTCTATATCAAATGACTGGAGGATAGCTAATGTGATGCCAATTTTTTAAAAAAGCTCCAGTGGTGATCCTGGCAATTATAAGCCGGTAAGCCTAACTTCAGTACCAGGCAAATTGGTTGAAACTATAGTAAAAAACTAAACAAAACAGAATTATCAGACACATATATGTACACCATTTGTTAGGGGAAGAGTCAACATGGTTTTTGTAAAGGGAAATGGTTCCTCACCAATTTATTAGAATTCTTTGAGGGGGTCAACAGACGTGGACAAGGGTGATCCAGTGAATATTGTGTACTTGGGACTTTCAGAAAGCCTTTGACAAGGTCCCTCACCAAAGGCTCTTAAGCAAAATAAGCAGTCATGGAATGAGAAAGAAGGTCCTCTCATGGATCCGTAACTGGTTAGGTGGTCACAGTTTTCAGAATGGAGAGAGGTAAATAGTGGCGTCCCCCAAGGATCTGTACTGGGACCTGTGCTGTTCAACATATTCATAAATGATCTGGAAAAAGGGGTAAACAATGAGGTGGCAAAAATTGTAGACAATACAAAGTTACTGAAGATTGCAGTCTGCTTTGGCCTTAACTAAGGGTACGTCTATACTTACCCGCTGGTTCGGCGGCAAGCAATCGATCTTCTGGGATCGATTTATCGCGTCTTGTCTAGACGTGATAAATCGATCCCGGAAGTGCTCGCCGTCGACGCCGGTAATCCTGCTCTGCGAGAGGAGTAGGCGGAGTCGACGGGGGAGCCTGCCTGCTGTGTGTGGACCCGCGGTAAGTACCTTTAAGTTCGAACTAAGATACTTCGACTTCGGCTACGTTATTCACGTAGCTGAAGTTGCATATCTTAGTTCGAACTGGGGGCTTAGTGTGGACCAGCCCTAAGAGTTACAAAGGGATCTTTCAAAACTGGGTGACTGAACAACAAAATGGCAGATGAAATTCAAGGTGGATAAATGCGAAGTAATGCACATTGGAAAACATAATTCCAACTATACATACAAAATGATGGGATCTAAATTAGCTGTTACCACTCAAGAAAGATCTTGGAGTCATTGTGGATACTTCTCTGAAAACATCTGCTCAATGTGCAGCGGCAGTCAAAAAAGCTAACAATGTTAGGAAGCATTAGGAAAGGGATAGATAATAAGACAGAAAATATCATAAAGCCACTCTATAAATCCCTGGTCTGCCCACACCTTGAATATTGCGTGTAGTTCTGGTCACTCCATCTCAATAAAGATATATTAGAATTGGAAAAGGTACAGAAAAGAGCAACAAAAATGAGTGAGAGTATGGAACAATGTCTGTATGAGGAGAAATTAAAAAGACTGGGACTTTTCAGCTTGGAAAAGAGACACCTCAGAGGGTATATGATAGAGGTCTATAAAATGATATGACTGGTGTGGAGAAAATGAATATGGAAGTGTTATTTATTCCTTCCCATAACACAAGAACCAGGGGTCACTCAATGAAATTAATAGGCAGCAGGTTTAAAACAAACAAAAGGAAGTACTTCTTCACACAACGCACAGTCAACCTGTGCAACTCATTGCCAGGGGATGCTGTGAAGGCCAAAAGTATAATTGAGTTCAAAAAGGAACTAGATAAGTTCATGAAGGATAGGTCCATCAATTGCTATTAGCTAAGATGGTCAGGAATGCAATCCCATGGGTGTCCCCAGCCTCCTGATTGCCAGAAGCTGGGAGTGAACGATAGATGATGGATCACTCAATGATTACCTGTTCTGTTCATTCCGCCAGAAGCACCCAACATTGGTCACTATTGGAAGACAGGTTACTGGTCTATATGGACCATTGATCTGACCCAGTATGGCTGTTCTTAAGCTGATTCGGAAAAAGAATTTGTGTACTTAGGAAGTACACTTAGCGCTACTGGAGAGACATCCGGAGAATTGAAAAGAAGAACCCAGTGTGCTGGGACAGCAGTGAAAAAGGTGGCAGGAGTGCTATGGGACCTGTAATTAAGTAACAAATTGAAAGGAAAAGTGCATGCTGCATGCATTTGTCCCTGCTTGCTCTATGGTTTGGAAAAGATGAGTCTTACAGAGATGGAAGAAAAGAAGATACAGATAGTAGAAAATAATATAGTGAGACAAATGGCAGGTAAGTGGAGGGTTGACAGAGTGCACCTGGAATTCATTAGGGGGAAGATAAACTTGGGACTCTCAGTGATAGATAGACTGACGTGAGTATGCTTGAGGAGGTCTGGACTTGTGAAAAGAATGGGAGAAAAATGAAAGCATGGGGGGGAGAGGAGAGCAAGAAAGGATGTGGAAGACCAAGGAAAGACCGAGGAAAGATGGAAAGACCCTGTCAAAAGAAGCTTGAAGAGAAAAGGACTACAGCTGCAAGACTTAAAAATCCATGCCATGGACAGGAAGGAGTGGCGAAGAACTGTGGGTACCTCAGACCCCATGTAAATAGGAAAAGGAGTTTAGTACAACGGATATATTTCCAAGGCAAAATTGAAAAAAACGCTCCAAAGCTAGAGGAACCAAACTTTATACTTCCCAAACTATGGGCCAAGTCATCCCCTCTGATCTGTCACTGGTATTGAGGAAGGAAGGGAGCAACAGGAAACAAGTTTAAGTGTCCCTAAATGTGCTGGATGGAGGAGAAATGAACCTTAGGACCATCATTTCCCTTCCCCTCCCAGTAAGCTTCCCTGCAGTCCCATGTAAGCTTCCCTGCAGAACTTCCCCACCTATGGAATGAGGACAGAGGTGTGGCTGGGGATAGCTGCCCTATGCTGCATGTTCCAGCAATCCTGCAGAGAGATGTTCACAGGAATGAATCATTTGGACCCTATCAGCACTAACTGCTGCACCATCCCCTCTATGCTGGCAGATGGAGATGGATTTTGTTGTCAAAAGGTGAGGGGGGAGGCGGAAAGCACAAGGAATAGCCCAAAAGGACTAAAGATCTCAGGATGGCCAGAGATCTGTGGGATTTTCCTACAGTTCTTGGGATATCCATGGTGTTTGGAAGAGGGAGCACACACCGGTTTGACACCATGAGGAGGCAAATCTACCACCTCCTTCCCCAAACCAGACTCTTTGGAAACTGGGCTACCGTAAGCCAATGGAGCTTTCATAGTATCTTGTGACCTCTTGTTTTTTCCCCCTGCAGTAGAATGTGATCTGA